GCAGGCGAGGTTTTCACAGAATTCAGAATGTTTGACTTTGATGTTGGGAGCAATGATGGTGGCAATGATTATGATCGTGAAACGAATTGATGAAAAGGCAACAACAACCTTTCACATCATGGGTCAGGAGAGAAGAAGAACACGTGAACTGATCGATGGTGGTATGAGGCAATTGTTCAACGAAACGAACATTTTGCTGACAGGCATGGACAACATGAAGGGAGCAATCAATGAGGACTTCAAGAAGATGTCGCAATTCATTGGAGACAGCAACAGATTCACGTACCAGAAGATGGACGACATCTCAGAAGAGCACAACTACAGAATCGCCAAGGTCATTGACAGGTTGATTCGCATTGAATACAAACAAGAAAGACAAGAAGTCAGAGCTTTGGACTTGGAGAAGAAGCTAAAGCAAAAGAAAAGGCATCGAACTCCTTCAATGAGCTCAGATGCCAAGAGGGAGATTTTGCAGAAGAGACAAGATCGAAGAGAAGCGCCCGGCACGCCCACCGAGTCAGAGGTGATGAGCATACTGGACACTCCAGAACCGCCGGAGCTCTATCTAGGAGAAGGTGATGGTCGGCTGGCACCTCATGAAGATGAACGGATGGAAGAAGAGGATGATGAGCCAGAGACAACAAAGTTGAAGAAGAATGACACCATCACACAAGAGCTATGGGACAAATCAACGACAAAGGCAAGCAGGTATTTCTTGCTGATGGCAATGCTGGAAGCTGTATGCGTGTATGGTGATGATGAGATCAGGAACTACATCATGCAGCAAATGCAGATCCTGGCCAGTGAAGTCAACGAAGAAGCGGTCATCAAAATGTCAGGAGCGAGCAGCTCACAGCATGGGCAAGAAATGGAAGGACATGAGCCACAGAATGTCGAGGAATGTGAAGTTCCAAGAGCATAGCAGAGGATGTCTCATGTCCATTCCTTGCGGTTGTACCGAAGTGGTACGTCACGCGGGCCCTTGGCTCAAATCTCACTAGGCCTTGAGCCTGCATCGCACACGGTTGCAAAATCGGGTGCGCAGGTTCATTTAGAACTTGACAATATATACACCAGTGGGGCTAGAAAAGCAATGCAGTTAGGATCAAGACCTGGTTGCGGAGATCCAGAATTCCAGCGTTCCAAGTGAAAAAAATGCGGTCAGGGCCTGGTGTCAGGGTTCCAAGCGAAAAGTTGCAATCATACCTTCAAAGCTTGGCAGAGTCCAAGGCTTTAGTGTTCCAACGTTTCAGGCGAGGTTCCAAAATAAAAGCGTATCACTGCACACTCCACGCGAAAAGTTGCGAGCAAAGCGTTCCAGAGTTCTGCGGTTCCAGGGATCCAAGGTTCCAGTCGAAAGTGCGAAATAAAAACCAGGTTGCAAAGTTCCGGACGGAAAGCTGTAATTAGGGCATGGAACCCCTCGCGCCCTACAGATTGCAGCTGTCAGGCTAAAATGTTGTACTAGAGATTAGGAAAGCCTCGCCACGAAGTGTAATTCCATGATAATGATCATAATAATATAGCAGACTTGGAAAGGAACGTAAAATGGAACTGGATCCTATTATATATTGCAGTGGTAATCCTGGAAGCGAGTCCTCCGTGCGTTCAACTCGAACTGCGGCCGCTATGCACTCTCCCCAAAGCCTGAGTTTGAAGAAACTCTCAACCAAACTGCACTCAGTCCTTAGGAACTAGGGTGCAGACCCAGACAGCAAGCCTGGCAGAATCAAATGGGTAAGCAAAACCCAATCAGTGAATGTCCTTTGTCAAGACATTGCGCAGTGCGCCTGCACCATCAACTTCAGGCTCGACCGACTTGAGCACATCCTTCCAGCTTCCATCGCAGAATGCAGCGTACATGTCCGGACGCGCAGGAGGTGGCGGAGCTGGAGGATTGGGATCACCACCGTCAAACTTCTCATATCCGTCATCTGAGGCGTTGTGATTGATGTTCTTCCAGCTGTCACCAAGCGGTCTATCTGGAATCGAGATACCGTCGATGGTCTCTGGCAACGGGTCTGCCTCGAAGTGATTCGGATCATTGATACGTGTTGTCATCTCTCTGACAAAGTCGTTCCAGGTAATCTCTCCAGTTCCGCTGACGTCCCACTCATGGAAGGTGGCCACAAGATCGGGACCATCATCGCCAGGCGGGAAGCCAACTGCATTCGTCAAGTCCCACAAGCCCGGAATGTCAAGGTTGGGCGCACAGCTGGACAGCGAACCATAGTACAAGAAAGCATTGCCCATGGCCTGAACGTCAAGCGATGCAATCTGTGCTGAAGGTTGGTGAAGTACTAAAACAATATCACCCTCCTGTACGTTCATCATACTACACGATTGATGGTAAATGGCAAATGGACAAAGGTTTTGACCAAGACCCCTTAGGGGATACTAAAAATGCCTGCAAGACTTCGGACAACAGGGGAAGCGGGCACAATCATGTTGAAAGCACGGATGGGAGCTAGGCAGTAGAAGGGAGGCCAAGCGAGCATGGGCAGTGCCTATTTTTGAAGTGTAGCAAGAAGGAGAATGTTTACTGTTTAGATGACATGTGGTAAGATTGTTAGAATGGTTGGTAATTAGCATGAGCCTTCAGGAGAAACAAGCAAAAGGTTGGGTGAGCAGATTGAGGCAGCTGAGGGGTGGTGGTGAGAATGATCTAGATGAGCTCATGAAGACACCAGCATCCAAAAAGATGAAGACACCCGCACCAGCTGGATTGATGTCATGCAAATGGCATGGGAAAAGGGTGGGTCAGAAGATCGGGTTCCGGGTTCACCATGGGTCAGTTTCACTATGACTATAGTAAAAGGATATTGGACGCTAACTGAAAAGAAAGTAAATAAATCGTATAATATATTAATTGGGGCAGATGGGCTTGATTAATAGGGGAGGTGTCTAACAAGAATCATTAGACGGAGGCCAATGTGGAATTTACGTTTTATATAAATTGGTTTAGTATTAGGGGCTCGGGATGAGCTTGATTAATTGTGGATGGTTACTCAATTCTATGTTAACATTGTGCCAAAGAGAGCCAAGAAGTCTCATGAAGAGCAACCACTGACTGACCTGATTTCAATCCATTATCCAGGTGTTTGTTCGAGTCCACAATGCACAAGGGCCATTTGACTACAATGTTTGTGCATCACACATGAAAATGTCGGTCTTGCGGATAGCATATGTGCATATTTTTTTTTACACGATTCTTTTCCGTGCCAATGCGTGCTAAAAGAGTTGGCGGATGTCTTGGGAACCGCCTGGACAAGGGTCCTTGAGCTTCTTGCTCACGGAGATCTGTCCTTCAACGAACCGACCTCTGGCATGGCATTTGAGGCATTCTGCCATCATGCCTTGTCGCTGCATTCGGTGCGACTTGTGACCTGCCCAGTCGGAAAGGGAGAGTGGTCCAAAGTGGCAAACTTCTCCCACAAAAGCTTCAAAAGCGGACTCATTCGTCCTTGCAAGAACATAGGAACGGCACTTTGTACACCGTAGGTACGCACGGTCAAGCCTCAAAAAGTGGATGCCGTCCTGTGGTTCTTCCTGAGCGTCAATGAGTTGCTGTATCACCGTCATTCTCGGAGCCTTGGGTGCCTTGAAGATCACCGGCTCCGTGCAAGCCTTGGCCATGGCCTGCTTGATCTCCTGGGGAAGGCTTTTCACGTGGATCTTGGTCCTGCACTGGGAGCATTGCGCTCCGCTTCTGTGAGGCTCCCACTGGTGTCCTTGATGCTCCCTGTTCTGAAGCACATGTGCTATGAGGTCCCGTTTTTGCTTGACAAGTGGGATGCGGCCCTGAGGATCGACTTCCGTCTTCTTCTTCAAGAAATGGTTGGGATCCTTGAGGAGAATGTCCATCCGCTCAGCAGCAACCAACAGGATGTCACCAAGGTCCTCATCAGTGGCCTTCTGGTAGGCTAAGAAATCTTTTGGGACTTCTTCTCGTGCCCTCTGTTGGGCCATGGCCTTGATGGACCTTTGAAGGGCCTTCCGAGTTCTCATGCCTTCTTCTTGTTGGAGGTGACTCATGAAAAGGAGTGGCCTCAACGTGTCAAAATCCTCAAATTCCAGGCCTTGATACAAGTCAGGGAACTTCTCGAAGGCAGCATGCGGCGTCCACGCTTTCCACAATTGCAGGCTGGAGACCCCGACGTGCGCCTGATCGAGGATGTGAAGAGCCAATTTGCTTGGTGGCATAGAAAAGAGCCCTCAATTTAGTGGCTTCCCCAGGACAAAGGCCAGTGATCAAAGCCACACACTCTTTGGTCGCAATCTCAAAGATGCCAATGGCAAAGGTGTATTGTTGGCGCCTTTTGTCCGCACAAGTGAGGGCTACATCGAGGCAGCAAGCATGACCATGATTGACTCTGCAAGGATGAAGATCTTGCCATTTACCTGTGCCAATGAAGGTAGAGGGTCCTCCATGTCGTTCCAGGAAGGCCTTTTGGCAGAGACCGCGGTTCCAAAGCTCGGGCTCAGAGTTTGTGGTGATGCGGTCTTTCCACTCATCAGGGATGTCTTTGACCTTTCCTTCCCAAAAGCTGCACTCCCATAGAAGATGTACAAAGGTCAGCTCCGTTCCGCACAAGGGGCAGTTTCCGTGAACCCCGTGAAGAGTTCCTTGATGGAAAGCTCTCAAACCAATGGCGATCTTGTCGCTTGTTTCTTTCTGCATCTTCAAGCTGATGGTCCAATCCAATGGTTGTTCGAGGTGTTCACAACCATTGTACTTGGTGATGCGAATGAGGCGTTGCCAACGAAATTCCTCCTGGAGCTTCATGGACAACTCGGGCCACATCATATCCAAAGAAATGTTGCAGTCCGGGATGGCTCCAAACCCCGGTCTGCTCCAGTTGTTGCCGTCTTGCAGGTTGAAGCCATAGTCCAAGAGATATGCTTGCAGAGCCTGAAGAGGTCCTTTTACCACCTGCCATTTGTACTTGGCTTGCTGGAGTGTGGCGAGCGAGAGGTTCCAGCTGGACTTGAAGAGGTGCTGCTTGGATTCGTCAAAGCTATGATAGATCTTCCAGATCGTGTGTACATGCTGCGCAACAATGGAGTCTCCTGGATCAGGATGTTTTTGATTCATGTCATAGACAATGTCAACGGAGCCTGATTTCTGTAGCCGGAGTCCTCTGGCAGCAATGACTCTGATGCGCTGTCTTCTTTGTGGAGCGAGTCCTTGGGCTTGAGCTCCCCATGTCATGACTGGATGAATAGCTCCTCGATGCAATCGATACCTGATCTGCGGGTTAAGCTTCAATCTGTGAACTATTCCAGTCCTTGCTCTGCCTTTGTTGAAGCGTTTCTTGACCATGGCAACTCTTCTGCGTTTGCTTGCCGTTGCATCGATGCCAAGATCTCTGAAAACATCATGAAGCTCAGGATCTCCGGGGCCAAGGATTTCTTTCAGAGCTGTCGCAGCTTCTTTGGAACTCGTGAGGAAACCAGTTTTGTCCGTGTTGAGCCGAAGTCCTGCTTGAGTTAGATGATGCTGCAAGGATCTGAAAGCTTGAACAGCTTCAGTGGCGACGTAGATGGGGTCATGACCACGGACATCATAGGAGACATCATCAACCCACGTTTGCAGAAGAACGGCCGGGTGGTCTTTGACCAGATCCTTGAGTGGCTTGTAGAGCACCAGCTTTGCAATGGCGGGTGCTTGAGGGCACCCTTGCAGGATTCCTTTTTGGTAGTGCTGTGGATTGCTGGTGATGCCCTCGGCTTGAATGATGCGCGGACCACGGTAAAGGTCGATGGCCAACTTCAAGTGGAGAAGAGGATATTCAAGTTCTCTCGCTGGGGCGATGAGATTGTCCAGGGTGACAGTGTCATAAAAGCAACTGAGGTCTGCTAAGCAAGTGACGGTGTGGATATTGTTGTGTTTGCCCAGCTCGCTTTGAAGCATCCTCCCGACTGCAATGGAGAGGCAGTCCTTCTTAGGACGTGCATGGTCCCAGGGCATGATGGAGTCGAGAGACAGCTGCCACTTGACAATGTCCTGTTCCTGACCCGATTCCATAGCCTGTAAAGACATGAGGTCAAAGCAATGGGCCTCTCCACTTTGGGGTTCTTTGGGATCATGACAATGCTGACCATGCGCAATTGAGTGGGCAAAAGCGCTTCCTGCTCCATGATGTTCAGCAGTTTGGCGAGTTGAGTGACAGCTTCAAAAGGGAGCTGCTTGAGGAAGTCATAATGGACCTGAGGCTTTGTTGGGCAATTTCTTGATGACTCGTTGGAGACTGATGGGGTTGATGGCTTGCATGTCCCTGGCCTGTGCAATGGCATCTTCACGGAGTTCACGGAAACCTCGAATGACACAGGGCTCATCAACAGGTTGCCAAATACTGCCCCATTGCTCCAACCTTGCTTGTAGGCGTTCCCAGAGAGGAAGGTCCTGGAAGGGCCTCTGCCAAGGGATGTCCTTCTGTCTCAGGGATCTGAAGAGCCCACGTAGACCTTTGGAATGAGCATTCTGTAGCCATGTCTTGTACTCTTCGGCGTTGGCCAGCGCTACTCCGACATGAGCTTGATGTTCTTGGGAGAGGACAAGGTTCTGCAAATGCTGTGGATCCTCATGAGTGTTCTCCAACCACGTCTTGATAAGGTCCAGGAACTCATCTTGGTCGAGGTCCTCAGAGCTGTAATCCTGAACACTATTGAGCATGGTCAGGAGGTCCTTTTTGACCCCTTCATGAGGAGCATGATGCAAGACGTTGATACGGACCGCCATTTTCTCCCAGAAAGCGGGTCTGCCTTTCTTCCACAGTTGAACCTGATGGGGTCCTTGAAGTGGGGCAGTGAAGAGATCAACACGTGAGCCTCTTCCCAATCTCGGCTGTTGCAGCTGTTGTGTGAGATAGAGCTCGGACTGGGTACACCATCTGGCAAGATCTGAGCCCAACCCGGTGATCTGGTAGTTCAGGATGTGGAAGGGTCCATTTTGCTCAGGGAAATCGGTCCAAGGAATCTCAGCCGAGAGAGCTCTTCCAATGGGTGGAAAGGTCCGCAGCTGCTGAACTGGAATGGCTTGGTTCTGACAGGTGAGCTTGACACTGAGGGCGCAATGAGGTCTCCACGGAACATCCCAAACGTTCTCAAGAGAAATTGCCCCAGCCAACTCATTTGAAACCAGAAGAAAGTCCAATTGACTGCCCTGTAAGGTGGTGGGACCTTCTGATGCTCTGATGTGGGCCTTGAACTTGCTCTGAATGACCGTGGCTGCCAATTCTGAAGGGGGATTCTGCCAGTCTCCTCCGATGATGAATGGAGCCTTGAGGTTGTCCAGGAACCCAAAAAGATTGGCCAAAATCTCCGCATTGGTGGCAGATTGAAGGCTTTCAGCTGTCTTGAGATAAAGCTGAATGATGGAGATGTGCATGTCCTCACGTTGTAGGCCTACAGCCATCCATCCATTGCCTTCCAGATCAAAGTGCTGAAGATCATGAACATGATGATGAGGTGGATGGAGACATAAGAACCCGCCAGTGGTTCCCCCTCTGTCCGTGTTAACAGCAGGGACTGCGATGCCCTTCCAGCCTCTGACTATGAAGTACTGGAGGACCTCGTTGGACTTGTGCTGATTGAGGTGAGTTTCCTGGAGGAAGAGGAGGTGATCCGCTTTGGACCAGACCCAATCTTGCACCTTCTTCCCAAAGGTGGTAACATTGGCAAAGCACAGGTTGATCTCATCATAGTGCGTCTTCTGTTTCTTGGGCGGAGGGCTCTCCTCAGCAACATAGTCGATCTGCATCTCATCATTGGGATCAAGGATGAGCCAGAGTTGGATGACTTCTTTCCCATGTTGCTCCGTCAAGTCACTGAGAGGTTTTGGGAAGCAATTGTCATCCACCAACCAGTATGCATTGTCAACAGCATGAATGGCCATGTAGTGTCCACTGTCATGCGTTTCCCCTTGATGCATCACCATTGCCAGGACGCGATAATAGGCCTTGGCGACCGCAATGCCATCATTGGAGTAGGGAAGGAAGACTTCGGTGGGGATGTCGAGCTCCCTGTGATGTTTCGTCCATTGCTGCTGCACGAGTTCAAATCTCTGAAGATGAAGGACGATGCAGTCAGGCTGACCATACAGATACTGACCATTGGCTTCATCTGCCCATGCGTTGAGCAGGGTTTGAAGGTCAACTTTGTTGTTCCCAGGAGGGAAGATGATGTTGAGTGGGACTTGTTCTCTTTCTTCAAGGATGCCATTGGGTCTGACATGAAAGAATTTGCTACCGATGGCAATTGGCTTCGCGATCGACCACATGTGTCCCACAAAGTCTCCGACGTCAGCTTGGACAGCATGATCAAAGTGAGTCCAAATGTCATGGAGCTCCGGGATTTCAGTCAGCGAGGAAGACTGAGAGGAGCCAAGAAAGGTCCTGAAGGCTTGATGTAGGCTTCCCCACATCATAGATGGATCCGCAACGAAGCTGCTGACCCAGGCCCAACATCGAAAGGCCGCATTGCTGAAGCAAAGGTTGCTCGAATTGCTGGATATCGAGGTGAGATTCTGGGCAATTAAGCCAGTGTTCCCTCGGATGTGTGGGAGATCGCCTTGAAGACCCAGTTGTCGATGCACCAAGTGTTCCAGCCTTTGAAGGTCTGAAAGAAGCTGCTGCCCAGAGTCATTGTTGGGCTGGTAGAAGAATTGGTTGCACGAGTTCATGAGGTCCTGTTGAGTGAGCTCAAAGAGTTGACTCTGTGGTTCTGTAATCTGAAGATCTTCATCCTTCGCCAGGATGTCCATGAAGGCTCTAGCAAGAGAATGACTGCAGGAGGTCCCGTTGCCAGCAGGATTCCGAAGAATCTGCTCCGAGGAAGGAGAACACGGTGCCTCCGCTGTCACTTCTTGCGAGCTCAAAACTGCTCCGCCAAAAACTTTTGGTGTCCTCAAGGGACCATAGCTCGGCGGTGAAAGGTTCGTGTGGCCCTGATTTGAGCCAATTGCTCTGTCAACTGGATTGACAAACTCCCTGCAATCAAGTTGACTGAAACCCACATCAATTGCCGAAGAAGAAGACAATTGACAAAACCCCAAATTCGCAACAGGGATTTGAGAACCTCCTAGGAGGAAGGAGGGAAGGTTACCCACACTGCTCTCCGTTCTCCGTGTCCGTCTTGCGGCGCTTTGCTTCATCAGTGATCTCCGTTTGCGGCCTTTTGAGCATGACCTGCAACTGCGACTGTTGCTCTGGTGTGAGATTTACACCGAGATTGGTGATGAAGCCTGCAACCGCTTCCGGCACAGGGTCAGACATGGTTGCATCTGACTGGAGAGGAGTTGCGGTCACCTCCGAATTGACCAAAGCCATGTAGGAGGCGCTGGTCTTGTTAAGTGCTGTCTGCTCTTGCTCAATCTTAGTCTGAATGGCTTTCATCTCATCCAGGAGTTCCTGATAGGCTCGTTTGGTGGCATCGATCTTGCCCTGGAGGTTGTGTTTCTTGTGTGACAAATCCTTCAAGGCAGTGACTTGCTGCTTGAGCCTTCCCGCGACTTCACGTTCAGAGGCGGGAGGTGGGGTCGTGATTTTCTCCACCAATTCCCGTACCGGAGTGGGAAGTTTGGTCAGGTTCTCCTTCAAGACATCCTGTAGGTCAGGTTCTTTGGGTTTGACCTCCGGGGAGATGCCCAAATCAGACAATTTCCCTCTCAACTGCTCATCAAGGGTTGACCAAATGGGTGCCAAAAGTTCAGTGGCATTCTTCTGGATCAGAGAGGGTTTTGGAAACCGTGTTCTTGCAAGTCCAGGAGGTGGCGAGGGCCGTCGATGTGGTGCTCTTTCCCATCGGTAGTTGCGTTTGTCGAGCTTCTTGGCATATCCTCCTGGAGGCTTTGGCCATTCATTGCCACATTGCCTGCAAGAAAAACCTTGTTGGACTCGATCGCACCAAATCCAGTTTCTGCATCCATGGGCTTGGCAACATTGATAGGGCCTATATCTCGCTGTCTCCATGTAGGGATCGCAGGGGCCACCGTGGAAGGAGACGGAAGCGAGGTGGTAGAGGACGCGTAGAGCCCAGCGGTGCCACCAGAGAAGCTTGAGCCAGACTTGAGCCACATATGTGCATATATATATAATATATATATGTGTGTGTGTTTCTCGTTATATGTCTATATATGCATGTTTTACAAACAGCCTATAATCGATCTATCACCAATGGTCTGTCCTGCTGGTCCTCCTCTGCCGGGATAAGGTTGTCTCCCTTTTCTTTTCGACGCCGGCATAGCTTGTTGAATGTAGTGGTGAATTTGAGTATCTTGGAAAGGTCGCTGCCGATTGACAGTGCAAGCAGCAACAAAGCCGGAACAACTACAGCGTTTTTTGTAAAATGCATGTGACTCATGCGCGATGTTCGTCATGCACCAATCAAAGCTGCGGCAGCTAGGGCCATGGCAGCATCCTCCTTTGTCATTGGCGGCGCAATGCTGAGGCCAACCTCTTGACCAGCAAATCGTTCGCAACACCGGTTTGCAAGACGAATCAGGGTGTCCTCGAGAAGTTGCAGGACAGACACTTCGAGGAACGTTCCTGGTAATTAACTATCAAACTCAATGTAAAGGACTTTCCTCATCTTCCCTCGAATTGTGGCGGCAACGTTCGGCCAACAAGTTTGTTACGGTTATATAGACAGCTAGTATTACCTCGATGTCTCTTAAAGCCATAGGACAGCTATTTTTTGGTTCGAAATCATAGATAAACGGCGGGACGAATCATGACATCCTGAAAGCTTCAAAACGAACATAGCAGAGCTTGTTCAACAGCTTCAGCTATTGAACATTTCAGGGAATGACTCTGCTCCTTGTAGTCGCCGCTGCAATCTCCTTCAATCCACTTGGCCAGACCCCTGCCATCTAACTCTTGAAAGTGCTCCCGCACTTCGTCCATGCGTTCCTTTGCGATGCACATCCAATTGATCAGCAAATTGTCTGACGTCCCAAGGCCTTTCATGGAACTCATAATTGCTTCAGCCCATACGCGTGGAGGTGGCTTGACCAAAGCCAGCAAAGCTCGCTTATAGTCTCCACTGGTGTCACTTTCGATAGCCTTGTACAGGTCCCCTCCATTTTTGATTTCTGCATATTTGGAGACTAGATCTCGGCGTTGTCTCTCAGAAAGATGCACCAGCAAAGTGATCAATCCAGTGTCATCAGTGCCCCAGCCCACCATACAGTCCCGTACGGCACATGCAAGTCTCTCAATGGGCTCCCGAAGCAAACCAAGCATTGCTTGCCGGAAATTTGTTCCCACAAACATACTCATGCCCCAATCCCAAGTCTCATCATCGATCCTCTTGTACAAGTCTTCACCAAATTTCTCTTGGAATTTGGCTTTCAGCGTTTCAATTTGCTGAGGTGTCTTACCGGCCACTATCTGAATAATGGCCTTCTCATTGGTGCCCAAGCCGTCCATGGCGGCCTTCAGGTCATCACAATCTTTGTCGTAATCCAAGGATGCTCTAGGATGGACGGACTTCAGGACAGCAACCAGGATGTTCTTGAAATTGCCACTAGTTTCGGACTCAATATGCTCAATGAGATCCCTGCTGAACCTCAGTTTCTCCCAACTTGAATTTTTGCCGTTGACAAATGACTAACGACTGCTCAAACTAAGTGAAGGGCATGCGCTTGTACGTCTCCCTGATGATTTGACGCTCCTGTGCAAAATCTAAGTGTTTCTCGGCTCTGCACTGCACCCGGCATTTTTGCCTAGAACACTTGTTGGGTAGCACACAGTGGTGGAACAAACGAACTGCTTTACACACGCTGATAGTGAGTTGATGAATCAGGAATTTCCACTAACACTCCCTGCCAGGGTTCAGGTCACCTCAATCCACCTGTCCATTGTTCATTTGCACGATCTACTTCAAGGCAAGACAGGGCAGGGGTATATCGCGTGATTGTCTGAGGTGATCAGTTGTCTTGGTCAGTCGGCTGGTCGTTCAGTCAGTTCGCTGCTGGGTTGGTTTGAGGGGCTGGTTGGTTGGTGGTTGAGCGCTGGTTTGGCTTTTGGGTGGCTTGGTTGGTGGCTTTAACGATTGGCACCTTATGGGGAGAAAGAAGGCAGAACTTCGGGAGATAAACATGGTTTGGGTCCCACTTGCGCACGCAAAAATCACCTCACTTACGCAGCGGGGTCGGCAGTCGAACACGCCTACTTCATTATAAAGGGGCCATGATGTCCAAGACCTCACTTGTGCACGCAGAAATCACCTCACTTGCGCACGCGTGACTCACTTGCGCACGCAGCGACGCACTTGCGCACACAGACATGTTGCTGCATTGGAATAACATTTTTTCCTCTAACTTTTACCCTCGGGTGCCTCCTCTAAATTTTACCCTCGCATGCACCGTGGGAATTCATTTTTTTACCCTGGGGTGGCTCACAAAACGTATGCACCTTCCTCCTCAAAAATTTTCCCTCGGGTGGCCCACAAAAGGCATGTGCCGTTGGAATGGCACCTTCCTCTTCTGAATTTTACCCTCCGGTGGCTCACAAAAGGCGTGCACTGTTGGAACGGCATCTTCCTCCTAAAATGTTTACCCTCGGGTGGCTCACAAAAGGCATGCACCGTTGGAATGGCACCTTCCTCGGGTGGCCCACAAATGCCCACAAAAGGTATGCGCCGTTGGAATGGCACCTTCCTCCTCTACATTTCACCCGCGGGTGGTCACAAAAAGTGAATGGCACCTTCCTCCTCTATATTTTGCCCTCGGGTAGCTCACAAAAGTCATGCACTGTTGGAATGGCACCTTCCTCGTGTAAATTTTACACGCGGGTGGCTCACAAGTCATGCACCGTTGGAATGGCACCTTCCCCCGTCTAAATGTACCCCCGAGTGGCTCACAAAAGGTATGCGCAAAAGGCACATGCACCGTTGGAATGGCAACTTCCCCTCTAAATTTGGTTCACAACAGGTACCGCTGGAATGGCACCTTCCTCCTCTAATTTTTGCCCATTCAGTGGTTCTAGTTCTGGAGCAGGCTCCGGGGAAGGTTCTGACGCAAGGTCCGAAGCAAGTGCCGGAGCAGGTTCCTGAGCAGGTTCCGCAGCCAGTTTTGCTGACATATTAACATGCTTGCATTTGAGTGTGTGTGTGTGTGTGTCTGTGCAGGCACACACTCCTCAATAGGTTTCTCATCCTTCCAACTTACGCGTGTAGAAGCGAGGCGTTTTCCGCGTGCACAAGTGTGGCGATTTTCGCGCGCACAAGCGAGCGCCATGCCGATGAACATCGTCGCGGTGTAATTTTGGACATCAGACGCGTGATCCATTGGAGGATGGGGCGGCCCTTTGCTTACTTATGGATTATATAGTTGACTACATCTGGGCGTCTTCCTTGGCAGTGTTCTTGATAGTGGTGAAGTAGTGGTTGCTCCACTTGCCTTGCGCTTGACTCATTGGGTACTCAGGTTCGGATGTCTCAATGTCATCCTTGGCTGCCTTGCTTGGAGTCTTTTGGGTAGTGCAGAATGATTGGCTCCTTGGCGTCGTTTGATTGCTTCTCCAGCAAGTTGTTGCGACGAACTCTTGGTCTGGTTTCATAGATTGTTTGGTGATGGGCTGGGCTATTGTATTGCTTGGCTGTCTGCTCGCATACCTCGAAGCATTTTCTCCTTCTCAAAGCACGTGGAACGCGCGAAGAGGGAAATTTGAATAGACAGCAAGTGCTTTGGACGCGTCTAGTCTGACAAAAAGCCTTCTCTGCCAAGGAATACCTTGGCTTAGGGCCTGCACTTTGTACAAACAAGGTGACTCAAGTGACTTTGACTGTGTAAAGGTGACAAAGGCATGAATATCACAGGACTTCGGGAAGTCTAGTGGACGCAACAGAGTAGATGGCGCAAGAAGAGCCATATATAATGTCTAAGCATGGCAAACTTGCAGTTTAACACTACACTACACATGATTGAAACAAATGTATGTGAATTGAGATTGCCTTCTGGTTCCGATGCATAATGCATATACATGTATTATGAAACTATATATTGCGGACAGACTGTTTTGACCACTAAGGGGTCTGCGGTTCAGTCAAGTGGATCTTGTCGCCACTCCTCCTTTGCGCTTGGGGCTATATAAGATGTGTGCCCTCAGCGCAACTAGAAAGGTAGATCTGGTGAATCCATGAAGGGAGAGTGTACTGGGATCAGGTACCCACAAGCAATGAATGCGAGCAAACTGCCACACCAGTTCTATGACAACCGCACGGGCGAAGCTCGAGACTGGGGGCCGATGTGGGGTTGGGTCCTGCCCCGTCTGTCCGTGGAGCGTCACGGCTCCGCTACGCGGACAGACTGTTTTGACCGCTAAGGGGGTCTGCGGTACGAGGTTCAGTCAAGTGGATCTTGTTTGCCAATATATATATATATATGTGCAACTCTATGTATGACAAGCTCGGCTGTCAGTCAGGGTTCAGCCCTTGTCCTTGAAATTTGCGCATATGATGATTCGAATCAGCTGATCTTCAGCTGTACCCCAACCAGCCATTGCGCCATGCAAAGCTGTCGCTCGACTTTCTGCCCACTTCATCGCCTGCTTTCCACATAAATGAACTTACGAAGCAGAGTTCCAAGACGCAAACCACACATTGGCAAATGGCGCAAAACTGGTTGAGCCTGGAACTTCAAGACCTTTTTGTAGCTGAACGAAGTCTCTGACGAAATGTGTTCCACCAGTTTCCTCAATGAAACCCATGTGGTACAAAGAAGCATGCGCCAAAATCTCTCTGAACCAAGCACAAAAGTGCTGCGTTTGGGAGGCCTAGTTCACCTCCTGCAAAACCATGTTTGATGACTATGTTTGTGCACAGCCATGTTTGACAATTTCCTGCAAGCATTACATTTGATGCCAAGCACATGTTTGTCGGTCCAAAATAGAAGCGTCCCGGTCCCGACTGATAGATTGTGAGTACTGAGTACTGAGTAGTGGATGTGTTTTCCCTTACCGGCCTGTTGTGTTCCTTCTCATACAGCCCATGAATCTCATCGTACAAGTTCTCTGGAAGCGTGCAAACCTTGCATTCAAGGGTTCAATGGCTGAAGTACAAGTTGGCCAGGTGGGTAGAAGAGTAAAAACCACTCATGCAGACATGGTTCCAAAGCGCTCAGAGTATATTCATCCGTGCCCCAACCGTGCATTGCATCCCAGAGCCCACGGACCTTGCGCCGCAACCAAAGAAGGGTTAAGTTGACATGGATGTGATTCAAACTGTATGTATACTGTAAACCCATGACACCCCCCCAGAAGGTCAGAAAGTTTGGAAACCTGAATGTTCTTGTTAAAGTGGGGGCCCATAATGAAGGGTTCCCAAAGACTAAGTCACTAAGTCCTTTCATGAAGAGAGGGTACAAAACCCAAATCTTTTCATGACGGAGCTTACTCTGATAATGACCAGCACACCCAGGGTTCAGTTCGGTACGCGCGTCCACATCAAATTGCATACATCAGATTCCAGTAAAGGGGTGAAGAACGGGAAAAGGCGATAAGTATTGCAGGAATCTTTTTAAGAAAAGGGACCTTACGAATTACTCACTGCCGGGAGCCGAAACACTACGGAACCAAAACAGTGATGGCACTCTTTAATCCCGGGGTCAGGAGACGCTCGAAGCACGCGACTTTTTCCAAGGGACGTCCTGGTAAACTCCAACGAAGCATGTCATGGAATGCCGATCGAACAACCGAGGGAGCATGCATTTCAACTCCAAACAAATGCATCTGTCGCTCTTGCACACCAGGCCCTGACATGTGCATTTCTTGATGTGTGATTATGCTTGTCTTTTGCATCATTGCGCGCACACTGGTTTCCTCCATAAATATGTTCGAGGCTCCCCTGGCTCAATACAAGAAACCAATAGATTAGCACTCAGCACGCATACTGAGAGTTAAACGTCAACGAAACGTGGAATGTTTCATTCAGTATCATGAATTTATGACTACGGCATGTATCAACCTCGGGAAGTGCAAGAGAGGTACATAAAGCTCCACTGGCATACACAAGAGCGTGGCCATTGCGTGTTTCCACCAATTGGTAAAGACAATGAAGGTGCCACTTTCTTCTTTGCATTTCTTCTCAACCTGGATGCATTTCTTTGCTCAGCGGTGCTGAGTTGAGCTGCACTGCATTGTCAAACACTGCGCACATTGTGGCGACACGATGCGACGCGCCTCAGCCTTCAAGGAGGCACCATAGACCTTTTCGTAGAGCTCTGTGTGTCGCTTGATCGCGGTTGCAGGCATGGCGACCAACACTTCCTTCAATGTGTCCACCTCAGATCTGTCAGATTCGCACACCCTACCATGGCAAAGGTGGGTCGAAGAACGTCAGAACGTCACATGTCTAAAAAATGTATGTCCTGGAGATGCTACAAAAGGCAGAAACCAGCAGAAAGATGCCAATGATACAAAATGAGACAATTGAAACGCTGTGGGGAGACTGGAGCAACTTCTTCATGCCCTGACAGAGCCAGAAGGAAGCATGGACATGCCGTCCGTAGGCAAGACGAGATTGAAGACTCTCAGAAACTAGAAGGTAAACGAGATCGGAGGCAAGTGGAATTTGCAGGTCTCACATACGCCCACTCACGTGCTGTATCGCTTCGCAAGAAATGCGCAAGAGGAAAAAGAACAAGTGTTGACACAAGAAAAGATCCAGTCTTAAGCAAGCGGTTTGTTGCTGGGGCCATGACAGGATGACATGCTATAGCATGGTTCCACTGGTAGGGTCCAGCTTTGGGTACAAGAATGCAGCAAGCAATTTTGGAACAAAGAAGAGGCACAATGGGCACATATCTTGAAACAAAGTCTGACACAGGAAGCAGTTAGACAAGCACCGAAAGGAAAAAGCTGCTAATACCATGGAGAGGTGCAGTACAACTCTTGTATGGTGGATCAGATTGGCACTGTGGACATCATAGCGGATGGAGCAGGAATTACGTAAATTCTACAAGCAAAGCAAGAAGCCCAAGCAATGCCAAGCAGCAATGCATTTTGATGACAAACAATCTACAGTATATGTGCAGCGGCATGTATTTGGTACTAAACTCACATACACTATCTATTATGTGGGGACGTTTGGACTAATTAAGTAGGAGGCCATGTCACAGTATCTCGTTCAGACTACCTTAGTAGCAAATCACACTATCTCGTTCGGACTACTTTAGTGTCATCAAGCAAAAGCATCTCGTTCAATTGGGGGCCCTATCTCGTTCCCAGGCGAATACTGATGATGGACAAGCAAATAAGCATGCCATAGACTACTTTAGTAAAGCCCAAATAAAAGTGGTTGCTCATATAGCATCGCAACATCAACAAACTTGAAGACTTTTGACTCTCGATCTCAAGATGTGAGCTTTCTTGTCTAAGCTCCACTGAGTCTGCCACGTTGAACAAGGCATCTTTGCATCGTTGCGCCCAGTAGACAGGAGCAATGTTGATTGTATCCTCTCTTTCTGGAAGTCAAATCACAGTCTTTTTAAAGCAGAAAACATCTCATTAGGTGAGGTAACTACTGAACACTGGAGACTCTCAAGACCTTTATTTGAGCTGGGCCAGTAGGCCTCAAAGGAAACGAGCACACATCTCCAGTCCACGTCGTTTTGATCTCCCGTCCTCACTGTTGCGCCCAGCCAACATGAGCAAGGTGTTCTTGTAGTCACCACTTGTCTCTGCTTCAATCCAGTCCTCAAGCATCTTGTTGTTGATCTTGTGGAATTCCTTTCGTACAGCCATCATGTCTTCCTTTGCCAGAACCATGAAATTGATTAGCAGCTGATCTGCTGTTCCAAATCCCTTCATTGCACCAGTCAAGGCTTCTGCCCAAACTTGCGGCGCAGGCTTTACAAGTGCACACAGCGCCCTTTCGTAGTCACCACTGGTATCACTTTTGATATCCGCGAATATATCACGGCCAAACTCTGCTTGGTACTCTTTGATCAACGCTGCTTTCTTGAAATCTTCCAAATGCACCAAGCATGTGATTAAGCCCTCGTCATCTGTCCCCCAGCCCTTCATGCAGTCTCTCACTGCATGGGCCAGCTGCTTCATGGGATGTCGGATGCAACCAATCAACCTGAGTCCATAGAAAACTCCTCCGAATCTGCAAAACCTCACATCCTGATGGCCTTCCCAACTCTCAATTATGTAAATTCCCTGTCTCTGGAAGCGCCAAGACGCGTATCCTTGTAGTAGCCGCTGGTTTCACTTTGCACCCACTCCAGCAAGTCCCTGCCGTGACATGTTGGTTTTCATGCTCAAGACAGTAGGAATATCTAAGCACTCAACGCACCTGTCGTACAATTCTTTAAATTTTGCGTTGACATCTTCCATCTGCTTGGACCTCAGCAGTTTGGTCGTGTTATCTTCCAGTGTGTGTTCACTGTATTCCCTAACACGCATGTGCATAAACACAAAGAATTCCGGTGCTGCGTATGTGTGTATATCTATATATACACACACATGTATATCATTGTCCTTTCAAGGTATGTATTTGGCACAGATGCACACATGCAACTGCCATTCGATGGATTCAAACAGGAAGAGAAACAATCGTGGTTATATAGACTATGTTCAAAATGAAACGAATGGATGGTTGACGTCGCACGCAACACAAGGATCAACCTCCCAACATCAGCTTCGGCAGAAATGAAATTGTGTTTTGTTTCTGGGAAATTAACCAGTTGCAAATACAGTCCTAGGACAAAGGTCAAATGCCTGTCGTCAGTGGACAAGAAAGAGTGCAAACTAAGTGTAAATATGACAGACGCTGGAAAAGAGCAAAGCACCATTATTTGCATTTTCAATGTCAATGTGGGTTCATTGGTGACCGTGTTTCAGGCGAAGGAGAGTCTGGTTTCTCTCCCGGAAGTGCATTCAGGATAGTGATTGATTGTGTCTTGGTACAACCTTGTTTGGCTGGACGAAAGTGTGGTGAACACCTCACGATGTTTTGGGAGGCGCAAAGAAACAGCAGCCCGAGGAACCCAGGAGAAAAACAAAAATACACCAGCATAGACCCAGATAGCTAGGCAGAATCCCACAACCTGTTGACATGCGACTGGTTGGAACAAGAATGTACGCAGCCTCCACAGCCAGCTTACGGCGCCTCCACAGCGTGCACAATCAGCTGACACCAGCACCGGTGCGCTTTGCCAGCTGACAATACCGGCAGCGGCGCCAGCACCTGACCAGCGCCGCCGCCCGTCTTAAACGCGCGCTCAGCCAGCTCACAGCACCAGCACCCAGGACCGCAACACCAGCACCAGCACCGACACCCCTTTCGAAAGCCCGCGCAGCCAGCTCATTCTTATTTGCAGCAAGCACCCCATAGCTATCCCTATTTGGGGAATAACAACGTATGATCTTGCACGTATAAGTTTATGCGCCCAAAAGTATGCGCGCAAACAGCAAAGCCCGTAAGTGTCATTGGCCCAAGGCCAAGCAGTATCCAGCGCCACTATTGACTTTGTAGCGTGCTAGAAGCAACGATCTGCAGAACGATAGGGCCGTATGATCTTGCGCGTAAAAGTTTATGCACGCAAAAGCATGCGCGCAAACGGCAAAGCCCATAGGCTTCACTCGCCCAAGGCCAAGCAGTATCCAGCGCGACTATTGTGTGTGTAGCATGCTGAAACACGCTGAAACAATGGTCGGTTGAGAGCCTGACGTTGCGCATAGAACATTATAATCGTTATACGTACAAAGTATGCGCGCAAACAGTAGAGTCCTTGACACAGCTGTTGGCCAAAACAGAACCTGAAGAGTGTGCGCGCAGCAGCTCATTGTTTTTTGATGTAGAACCCCATAGCTTCGCTATCTGGGAAAAAGATCCAAAAATAGACCCCCTCACATATGCAAGCTACACTGCCAGCGCCAGCGCCGGCGCCCAGCACCAGCACCGGCGCCCGACACCAGCACCAGCACCAGCAACCTGTCTCCCACCACGTCCACAGCCAGCACCGGCGCCCGGCGCCCAGCACCAGCACCGGCACCCGGCACCAGCACCAGCAACCTGTCTCCACCACGCGCACAGTCTTCCTTCAAACGATGCAGGCAGGAAACGGCGAAAGGGTCCATAGCCAGCCAAGAAAGCGCTAGCGGCTAGCGCCTGGGTCCAGCATTACACCGTCGGGACGCTGATTCGTCCATTGTGGTCCTTAAAGATGATCATGACCGACTCGTCTTCCTTGAGCTGCGCCATTCCTTCGGTCGGCGCAGGTCGCTTCAAACTGGGCCCCTAGTGCCCTTGTTGACCGCACCTGAGGCAAGTCACGTTGGCCTTAGCCCTTCCTTTTGGGTCGCTCTTGCCTGCTCCTTGAGGTGGATAGCGCACAGTCATGGACGGCTTCCCCTTTGACTTGCCACCCTTTGCTTTCTTCTGCCATGACGAAGGACTCGACGACGATGGGCGCGCTGCGCTTGTTGTGAACCTTCTTCTGGCATCGGTGTAGGAGGCAGACGCTGTGTCATACTCCTCAGCCATGTGCTCTGGGCTTGTACTCTCCGTTGATTCTTCAGGCCAGGGTTCTTCACCACAGTAGGCGGCATCAGCGTCAAAGTCCTCCTCCTCGCGGTCATAGTCAGCCACCTGCTCATCTTCCTCGCAATAGCCGGTTTCATCTTCCCAGTCATCTTGGGCAGCGTAGGCACGGCCGCCGTTGCCCCATCGTTGGAAGCGCTTGTTGGTGCCTTCAGGGTGATCAACGGTCGCTCGTCAGGGCAGCGCGTCTGAGCAGATGCCATCCTTGAACTGGTTCAGGTAGGGCGACTTTGCGCTGAAGGGGCTTCCGGTAGGCCTCTTCATGATCGTTGGCAGGTCAGGAGTCTGGCCCGGGAGCGGCTGAAGGGTGCTGAAGTAACCCTCAAAATGAGCGGGGAGTTGCACTCGCTGATCATAGGAGAAATTCCCATCCAGCACCTTCAGCATGGTCTCGAAGGCATCGCCCTTCTCAAACTGATCCAACGACCAATCCTCGAACAGGCGCCAGACCACTCCCTTAAACGATCCGACGATGTTCACAACTCCGTCTCCTGCCCTCTTCGACAACGTCATCTTCCTGTAATAGAGCTGAGCACGTTGCCGCCATTCCTTGTACTCTGAGGGCTGTCCGCTGAAGACAGGCGCGTAGCTGTCGCGGACGTCAGCGTAGGTCGGGTCCTCCGACTTGGATGAGGAAGCCATAGAGACCAGGTGCCTGGGTCCTCCGCTGCTGCTGAGCTTTCCTCTACGACACGGACGAAGGCAGAGGCAGTGCGATAGATCCTTCCCAGAGGGTGGTGAACAAAGAGGTCAGAAACAAGGATCGTATCGTTCGGGTTGGTGACCAAGGTCTTCTCCCGAATGTCCGGCGCAGGAGCCCTCCCCCTGGATGGGTTTGGGCTTCGCTATCAATGTAAAGACAGAGGTAGTAGCTGAAGCACTACGTGTGGTGTGGAACAAGGCAAAAGGCACGAACCACAGCAAGCGAATTGAGTGAGCGCCGAAGCACACGCGACCGTAGGCTCTTTTTGTCCCTCATGAGCCCGCCCTGCGGTTCAAGTACCTAAGTGAAAGGCCTCAGTGAAGTGGCCTGACACGTCGCACAGTGTGCGAACTCACAAAATCCATCTATATAAACCATGAAAAGTTACATATTGACTAATTTGTTTATTTAATTGACACAGTAAAGGAAATCCAATTATATAGATAGTTAAGTAATAAATAAGCAGGCAAAGCGACTAAGGCCTGGAGTCGGGAGTGTGTAAGCTAAGAGTTGAGAATATGGTGTCACGGCCAAGAGCAGGAAGCGAGAAGCGCCAAGCAGAGAACCAGCAGTTTCAACAGTGATGCATACATGTCAGAGTACAAAGGAAAATAATGGGGGGGATATAAGCTGTAGCAAAAAGCTTTAGTGCGCACAGGAGTTAAGCTTGGGACAGAGTCTATATTTGGATCTGGTGCCCTACTGTCTATTGAATATATTGTTCATTGCAAGTCCACTCTTCCTGCGTTGATTCTCTGCGCCTAAAGACTACACAAAAATACAACAGCAGCATAGAATAGAAGAAAGTATGGCGAGGAAGACGCACACTCTCCTAAAGACTTGAGGGCCACACTTAAAGTGCAACAACCACATGGAACAGAAGAAAGTATGGTGGGAAAGACAGAGAGAATTGTTGACGTGTCAAGTAAATTAGACCCGTTGTCTTCCTCAGCTCTCGCCGAGACTGCTCTATATACTAAATACTATTCTGACCTGCCCTGCTCTTTCAGATTGACAACAAAGGACAATGGAACAAGACAAAGACGTTGGAGGAGGGTATGGTAGACAACTCTATCTACCTTTCTTCACTTCCCTACTGCGTTGACACTCTACTCTAAGCCATCTTACTTGGTGATTGTCAGTTCGCATCTAAGGTGCAGCTTGAACTTATGTTTGGATGAACCAAATAGAGTGGTAGGACAAAGAAGAGTAGAGTAGGGTAGCTAGGCTAGGGTAGAGCAGGGCGGAGCAGAGTAGAGAGAGAAGGGTGAAGCGATTGCTGAAGCAGGGCCTAGGGTCAAGGGCAGTGTAGGTTGAACAGCAGCACGCACATTTGCACACAAAGCTTCAGCGTGTGTAAGGTACGGAGCTTTGGAAGAGCCCACATATCGGACAATATTAAGGCTATTTGCGTCTGATGTGTTATATACTTTCTACTTTCAATTCCTTGCCTACTAACCACTTCACCACTCAGCCTGCAAGCTCAACTTGTGCCAACTCCTGCGCGCTACTCTCTTCTAAAGTTTCTCACGGATCTTTCAAAAATGGAGTGTGGGACGAGTAACCTTGCTAAAGAAAGCGATGTGAACTCTGTTGGTGTGGAGCAGGGTGAAGTTTCAGGGTGAAATTTTGAGAATAGTTATGAGATAGATATGAGGGAGGACGAATTGAAGAAGGTGTGTGTCCTTGATTGTCATTGTACTATTGGTTGGTCACTGTATTTGGCGTGACTGAGAGGAAGAGCTATGGAGAAAATCAATAAAATTGAATGCAAAATGTTTTTTTGTCCGTGTCCGTATGTTGTGTGAGTGCAGCAGGCGCAGTTAATTATGTGTTTGCATGGCAACCGGCTACCATAATTGAGAGGCGAAAACAGTATAGAGTAGAAAAAGTAACAAGTCAAATGCTTGAGAGAGAAGCGTATGATAGACGACTCTGTCTATCCAATCTACATTCCTTCACTTTGCGTAGTGCATTGACGAACGTGCTACTCTAAGCCATCTCACTTTGTGACTGTCAGTTTGCATGCAAGGTGCAGCTCAAATGTTTGTTTGGATGAACTAAAAAGCGTGGAGTAGGCTAAGGCTAGATGGACTGCGCTCAGATTAGGGTAGAGTAGAGTAGGGATAGAAGGGCGCAGTTGAACATTGTAGGCCTGAAGAGTAGGCCAAGCGTTGGAGCCTGAAGTCTCTAGCAAGGAAGACAAAGAGTTGTTCATAATTGTTCTTTGGTATCAAGGTTGATGCTACAAAGCATGAAGCATGAAAGCAGTGTCCGGAGTCTGTTGCATATAGTGAAGGGTGATACATTTTCAAGTATAGCGTATGGCAAAGGGCAGGTTGTGTAAGTTTGAACCGCAGGATGCGCAACTGCTCATAAAGCTACAGCGTGGCGGCAAAAAGAGCCTATAAGAAAGGGTTGTCATATAGGATATATTGTATAAGGCTTAATTTCTTGCAGTCTATTCACACTCCTTGCCCACTAGCCGCTCATCTCCATCAAGCTTGCAAACTCAACTTGTCCCGACTTCCGTACCTTGCCCTATTCTAGAAATTATCCCGGTTTGTTTAAAGAATGCAGCGTGAGACAATAGAGTCGTGGTCGGCTGCGCGGTTCGTTTCTCTATCACTATTTGCTCACCATTGTACTACGCAACGTGAACTTGACCTCATACGTCAAAGAACAGAGCGGGACAAAATGGACTAGAATGGTTATCCAGGTAGAGGAACGTAGAGTAGAGCAGTGTACATGTAGACAGAAGAGAAACATGCAACCAGACCGTCTGAAACCGAAACAATGGGATCATAGCTGCGCAATCCTGGAAACAAAGACTCTCCTGCCATATCGTTTGCAATCGTTCCCCTGCGCGAGTTCTTTGCCATTGTTGTGTAACTTGTACAACCTATTTCTCCTAGAGACTTCTTTTGCACAGCGTGATTCCGAATGTGAAGAAGAAGAAAAGAAAAAAATTTATGGATGCGAAACATATTTCCATTACATACTGCAGCATTACAACTAGATAAGCATTTGCGTCGCCTCACTTCTCGCTTGTCCTATATTCGATCTTTCTTGAAATCTTTCCCACGTTCTGTATCCTTTGGTTCTGGGGTCTTCCTTTTATGCCTAGCTTCAAGGACATTTGGAAGCAAGAGGCATGCCTTCAGCTTGTCCCATACCTTACACACACAACACGCTTAGTTTGACCCAAGTGCTTGCCAGCAAACAGGAACAAAATCGCTTATATAAGTCCAATTGATCAACTACATATTTTGTTATGTGCGGTTTTAGATGCAAACCAGAGGGACACCCATTGTCTTAATTGTTTGGAAGCCTCGTGTTCCATTTCTTTGGTTTTCTTAAGAGAAAGGAAAAGGGACAGGATAAAAGACAAGGAAAAGGACAATGTGAACATTGATCTACATTACCCCACTACCCTGCTAACCTGTGCCAATTCTCCTGTTTCTATCCCGAGAAACAGATCTCTATCAGGGGTCGGAGATAGTTTCTCAAGGGTGAATGATGCATAAGCGCGGAAGAAGAGGATGAGCAAAAGCCCAAAAGCAAAGACATGGAAGGAGAGCGCAAACCCAAGTTCTTGCGCACTGAACATGGACAAGAAGCAAGCAGGAACGTAAACAAGGATTGAGGAATTCGTGAAGCTAGGTGAGAAGTTTAGCGGGTGAGTGTTGCTTCTAAGTTAGTTCACTTGCCTTCTCAACAATTTCCTTCATCCTCTGAAGCTTGCCGGGCGCAAATCCATGCCACTATTCTACTCGACACCACGCTACCCTGACTGGAGAGGCCACAACTAAGCAAAGAGGAAGAAAGTACTGTGAGAAAAGGACACTGTGCAATGAACGTTTCAAACAAAGCAAGCCCAAAGCAAATCCATCCATTCTGCTTTTCCTCCCTCCACTGTGGCTAAGACCGCCCCAAAAAGTTCTACTCTCACGTCCCTGGCTCTTGAGCTCTTTGCTGACTGACAATGTAGGAGAAACGAACAGTAGCTGACAAGTCTATACAATGAATCAGCTAAGGTCCCGGTCTAGGGTGGGGGATTGCGCTCAGAGTAAGGTTTTACAAAGAGCAGGCAAAGCGATTAAAGCCTGAAGTCGGGAGTGTGGAAGGTAATAGATGAGAGTGTGGATCACGGCCAAGAGCATGAAGCGTGAAGCCCTAACAGAGAATCAGCAGTTTCAACAGTGATGCGTACATGTCAGAGCACAAAGGAAAACAACGGGCGGGATACAAGCAGCAGCTCAAAAAGCTTTAGCGCGCACAGGAGTTTAGCTTAGGAGAGAGCTTATATTTGGATCTGATGCCCTACTGTCTATTGTTCATTGCAAGTCCACTCTTCCTGTTTTGATTTTCTGCACCTAAAGACTACACAAAAATACAACAGCAGCATAGAATAGAAGAAAGTATGGCGAGGAAGACACACACTTTCCTGATTGGCTAGCCCTAAAGACTTGAGGGCCGTACTTAAAGTGCAACAACCACATGGAACGTATGGTGGGAAAGACAGAGAGAATTGTTGACGTGTCAGGTAAGTTAGATCCGTTGTCTTCCTCAGCTCTCGCCGAGGCTGCTCTACCAACTACTATTCTGACCTGCCCTGCTCTTTCAGACTGACAATAAAGGACAACGGAACAAGACAAAGACGTTGGAGGAGGGTATGGTATAAGACAACTCTAGACTCTATCTACCTTTCTTCACTTCCCTACCTCCATTTACACTCTACTCTATGCCATCTTACTTTGTGATTGTCAGCTTGCATCTCAGGTGCAGCTTCAACTTATGTTTGGGTGAATCAAATAGAGTGGTAGGACAAAGAAGAGTAGAGAAGAGCAGGGAGAGCTGAGCAGAGCAGATAGAGAGAGAAGGGTAGCGATTGCAGCCTGACGCTTTGAGTCTGGAGTTTGGAAGATTTTGAAAAACAAGTGTTGAGAGTTGTATATTGTCAAGGTTGATGATAAAGAGTATGAAGCATGAAGCGCTAAGCCAAAAGTTTGTAGTTTATACTCGATACATGTTCAAGCGGAGAGCAGGGCCTAGGGTAATGGGCAGGAATGTGTAGTGTGAACAGCAGGACCCACATTGGCTCACGAAGCTTTAGCGTGTGTAGGGTACGGAGCTTTGGCTTTCAATTCCTTGCCTACTAGCCACTTCACTCAGCCTGCAAGCTCAACTTGTGCCAACTCCTGCGCGCTACTCTCTCCTAAAGTTTCTCACGGTTCTTCCTGTGGAGCAGGGTGAAGCTTTGAGAATAGTTATGAGGGAGGACGAATTGAAGAAGGTTTGTGTCCTTGATTGTCCTTGTACTATTGGTTGGTCACTCTATTTGGAGTGACTGAGAGGAAGGGGTTGCAGAGGAATGATAGACACCCGCTCTATGAGCTAGGGAGAAACACAATAGTATTGAACGCAAAAATGTTGCCTTTGTCCGTGTCCGTATGTTGTGTGAGTGCGCCATGCGCAATAAAACATGTGTGTTGTATGGCAACCTGCCACCATAGTTGTTTGTATGGCCGACGAACGAAATGATCTCAAAAGGTCCCTGGAAAATATATGTATATATGCATATCTACAAAAATACAGCACATATATACACAGTAATGTACACATTACATCCAACCATACTTGACCACATCAGAAACAGCGGCACACGTCATCACATCAAGAACCATCGCATCACACATCATCACGTACCCAACAAGTCATCAATCATGCTATCACATACATCACTTCTCGTATAACTTTCGCTTCTTCCACCAATGGATCTGCCGAAGCACTGCCTCATGTTGACTTCTGTTTGCCGGTTCTTTGCAAACTCTTGCAAATGATGCTGGGCGATTCGGCACCTCTCTGCCTCTCTACCACGGATTCTATAGTTGGCTAAGTAGCAGCATGCCCTCTTCACGGTTGGCATAAGCTTACGGTTTGGCACCCCTTGTATTGCGTCTTTGCCATCTTGTCACCAATGGCATTCTTTGATCATCCCCTTGGTGTGGGAACTGCCATTGTGTAAGCATAAGTTCTTCTTGCTGGAACTTTCCCAGGTCGTCCTATTTTGTTTCACCAGCTACCATGAAGTTCTGAGTGCTCAAACATCAAGTTGCAACTATCTATCCCAACTAAAACAGAGTTGCTAAGCTGATGTCCACCTTTTCTATATTGAGTTCTCGCCTGCAAAATTCTCACCCCTTTGTTCTACGGGTTTTGCGTCTGTCCGCGTTTTTTGTCCCGCATATAGCCAAACCCTAAGTCGTTCCATCTCAGGGCGGTGCGACTTGTTGCAAATCATCTGCGTAAGTTTCGTCTCGTCTGTCCCCCAACCTTCCATCGCCTGCAGCTGCAGTGAGTGAACTGACTACATCTGACATGAAAACAAAAGCGAATTTGACATCTGGTCCAATAGAGTGTGGTTGTGTACGTCAATGAGGATTTCTTGCACCTCCTTCATGGCCGCACAGTCAGCTTCAATATCAAAGGATGCTTCCTCCGCCTGCAAAGTTTGCAAAGGCCAAGGCGACTATATATACAACATTACACAACTATAAAAATGATGTTTTTCCGCGAGCGTCCAGAAAAAAAAAGGTAAAAAGAACATGTGTCAATCGCTGAAAGCCCACCTGCAGCATGCAAAGCAACGCCTTTTGAAAGTCTTTCGAAGTAAACACGTCTGAGGTCTCGGACTTGATGTGTTCGACCAAGTCTTTTCCAAACATTCGCTGATACGCTTCTTTCACTTCCCTTCGCTCTCCAAAGTTCAACTGGGAAATGACACGTATGAGCTGATCTTCGGCTGTGCCAAGGCCGACCATTGCTTTGTTCAAGATCTTGGCGCGACATTCGTCCGGGCTCATTGCCTGCCATACCAGCACCTTAGACATGCGCAGTCATTCAAGTGCCTTCATTATGGTGCAAAACAAGCTGCCCAAATGCGGCAAACATGCCGACGAGCTGAGTCCCAAGCCTTTTTGTAGCTGAAGGAAGTGTCGCTTTCAATGTGTTCCAACAACCCTTTCCCGACGGTTTCGTAGTACTTCTTGAAGATAGGGATTCGAAGTCGCTCGGGGATGGTACACACAAGGGCCGTCAACGAGTTCTCGTCCGTTCCCCAGCCCTTCATTGCATCGTTCAGGCAACGGACCCATAAGTCCACCTCTGGCTCCAGCAAAGCTTTCATACAGTTCCTCCAGTTCCCAGAAAAGAACCACCCATCGGACCTCGGAAATTACGCGGCCAAGTCATGGCCAAACAAAACCTGCACTCATACTTTACTGCTTTCATAAGCTGTGTGATATAAGAACTCTGCCGGTGCCGCACTCCTGTTTCCGGCCACCATTCCGTGGGGAGTATTCATACCGTGGCCAACCAAAGAACCGGCAACCCACTCAACCCACACCGTCCACTAGCGTTCCACAGCCCTGTCTGAGTCTACGCCAACACTTATACAACTCCATTTCCCCCTTTGGAAGCCAGGCCAACCACTTCCAACAAAGCTGGAAAGCAAGTCTCCAGGATTTGCCGGCCATAACAACTTTTCCGGTTTTGCAAAAGCTTTTGCAACGTGAAGCAAGTCTGGCGCATTCAACTTGGTATTGTGGCGCCTTGCTGCCAAAAGATTTCGTGTGCAAAGAAACGGCTGCAAGGGTAGTCCTCGTATGGCTGTGGATCAAAACCAGAAGACCTTGGTTGACCTACCTCGAAGGTCAAGCTACATGGTGCCCGGTGGACCAGGGCTCCAGGTTTTGACCCATCCCCAAATCAGTTCGTAAGAAAAAGCGGCGCGCACCAGCTCTAGATTGAGAGGGAAGTTCTCTGCCTTCATCAAGCTTGTTGAGGCCCTTCTCAAGACGCCTTTGGCGACACCACAGCTGTTCAAAGAAGAGCCGAGCATGAGGCGGATCGGGTCTGAGGCATTGCTTGCCAAATGAGCAACCAAAGCTGTCAGGGCTTGTCCTTGATTCTTCAGCGCACTGGGAATGACTTCTGAAGTTGAAGCCCCTTTCCCCCAGCCGCCGGGACTGCCGGTTGGCGGCGGAGCTTTGGACATGCACTTGTTGCAGAGACCCTGTGCGGTTTTGGCGCAGCGCAACGATTGCAATTGGGCCATCTCCAGATGATTTTGCTGAGCTGAGAACTGCATCATCTGCTCACCTGATTGTTGTCGCTTCACAGCGAAAAAACTCCTCCCCGGGCCCAAAAATCCTGCTCAAGATCTGCCTCCTTGTCCGGACAAGATTGTACTCGGGTTCCCTCCTCCGCCGAAAACCTCCACCAGTTCTCAATCCTCAAGCAAGGCAACCTCGGGAGAGGTAGGTGGCACTGCCGCCAAAGAAGAGGAAACCATAGTGCCAGTGACAACTGCGCGAGGCTATGAATCGACGATCCCTTTTGGTGATGGGAAGGCTCATGCAAATAGGCCTGCAATGGACGTCAGAAATCCAAAAGGATTGGGGAAGCAACCCTGAAAAGAGCCGACACAGGTGGCTCCTGAGACTCCTCAGTGGCCACAGACAAAACTAGAGAGGAATAAATGCAATCCTGACTTGCCACAGTGGAAATGACTGGGGAACCGCCAACATAGAGTTTGAGGTCGAAAAGTCATTTGCGGTTGCTCTTGTTGCGCAAGCTTGCCAAAATTCATCTTTGTTTGACACCGACAAACGTAGCACGCTGGCGCACCACATCACCGCAGACACAAAGGTACCACGTCCACAACCGCGTGCATGAAACAAACACACACACCCACCATCTGCCCACCGGGAAAAAACACCATGAGACCTAGAACCATGGAAAAACACACAAATGCGCCACAAAGACGTACCACCGCAGTGCCTGTAGAAACATATTACCAGCAGCGGCAAAGCATGTCACGTGTCACCCCACTGCCCTCAATGCATACCTAGTCCCCATGGCATGTGCGCACGAACATACCACATCACCACGTTCGAGAGCGTCTGCCACTTCACTGTCAGTAGGACATTCCACGCAAGCACCAGCAACAAGTGTTCCCTCGTGTCAACAACACGCCACATAAACTCAAGTAAATGCCCCGCCGTCAGAAGGTAGAAGCATTGTTCAATGTTTGCAAGAACCCATCGGTTCACCAGCAGTGACAACGCACCAGCTCAGCGGCACCAGTTGGCCTTCATAAAGTCACCAGACCTACTGTATATTGCGAACTTTTCCTGTATCCAAAAGGGGCTGCGCAGTGGTGAAATGCCAGGCAAGCTGCACAACAGTACCTATGGTCTACCTTGAAAGTTCTTCACACTCCTTCTCGGTAGTGTGAGCACTCAAATTGCTATCTTGGCTCAATCTGCCGCGATAGTCCACCGTCATACGTTTACCGAATTTCTTCTCACTCTAAGGAACGGGGTCCATTGAGGTCTCAGCCGTTGCGTCTTCTGGGTTTCTTGGTCCTCTTGTTATTCCTATTTCATCTAGCAGCATTTAGTATCAGTTTCTCTCATAGTCAACCTTGTCTGCTTATCAAAACCTCCCAGTGTCTGTGGTTCAGACTTTCGGTCTTTCTCTGAAGTCGACCACACAGCTGATTCAGTTGTTCCTGTTCATATTCCATAGTGTTCACAAATTTTGCACTCGCTGGCTTGAATATCTTGTTGGTAGGTCCTTCTGAGGGAATTGCAACTTGGGTGGCTGTTCTAACATGATACTGTCCCGCGCTTGATCTCACGTCTTCCAAGCTCCTTCTGGCTAAGTAGTTCCCTGCGTTTGTCTGCGCAATCGTCTCATAGCTGCAAACCATTGACAATCAATCCACAATGAATTCTCCTGGTATAGCTTGTGAGATCGTCTAACCTGTGATCATCTTCTTCTTTCTGGTCAGTCATGTACTCAATCTCCACCATCCTAAGTTCTGCAACATTCACCCATTGTTGAAAATGCTTGTACTGCATCCACATTGCAAAGGTCCACTTGTTAATTTCAATTCCTCTCATGAATGAACTTGCTTCTATAGCCATTGGCTGCAAGCCCTCAAAAGTTTCAATTCTGACAATCACCTTGGCAATCTTGCTGTCCTTACCTGCAAAGTTCTTTTTCTCTTCATACACCTTTCTCTCACCCACTTGATATCGATGTCTGCCATGCTGCTGCCTGTTGGTACGTGAACCATATTGACGTCTTTTCTGTTCTGAATCCACCGCAACTTTCCATCAAAACGGCTCACTGTGACGATGTAATGGTCCACCTTTGTCCCAAGTGCAAACTCAAGAACTGAGCGAACGCAGGTACCATCTCACGCTGAGCAAACTATTGCGCGCAACTCTGCTTCACGTGAAGACAATCAGCTAATGATCTTCTGTGTTCTGCTGCTGTTGAACAACGGGCAACTGTTCAACACATGGAATCCTCCTGATGTTGACTTTCTGTGGCTTTTGTTTCCAATGTCTCTAAGCACCAATACCTTTCTCCTTTCTTCACATAGCCTTCTCCTGCTTGTGAAAATTCAACTACCAGACAATAGCCCATAGTATTCTTCAAGTATCCTAAGAATTTCTTCAAGCGACGCATTGCCATAGTTGTTGGAACGGTAAATGCCACATCAAACCTCTCTTGACAAAGGCCGATACCTGAAACTGATCATCCAAGACTTCTGGCTTGTCTTCCAAACTGTCTGATGGTAATGGTTCAAGTTTGATCTTTCCAAACTGCTCCTCCTATGCCTCCAGCATCTGTTGGATGTAGTTACCTGGTTGGGTCCATAGTCCATCTTTCTCAAGTCTATAGTTACTTTTTTAGGAAGTTGAATTCATCACCCATCTTCTCATTGTTGCTCACACGGGTGTCAAACTTGTCTTGAACCTTTGGAAGAAAGTTTTCGTTGATGTACTTTGAACCACCTGTGAAAATCAAGTCACCCACATGGATCAAAATGATACTCCTCTCATTTCTTCCTAGGCATGGACACTCAGCACTGAGCTTGTAATTTCCTCGGTGAGGTACCCTGTGAAAAGTCAAACCACGCTTTTGCTCCAACTCTCTGCCCAGGTACATTCCTCTTCAGAAGAATTCTTCTCCTCTCAAGTTCACTTTGGAAGTTGCAAGAATGCATCTTTCACATCAAGGCATCCTAACATCTGAGAAAATGCTCCTTCTCCCTCTCTTGCTCCTTCCTCCTCACTGACTCTCCGCAAGAATGTCGTGGGTAGAAGTTTCAGTACATGTCCTGAAGTTGCTGGTGAGAAGACGTCATCCCTTTCTTTCAGCAAAAGCAAATTCTCTTGCAGCTAGTCTTGGTCTTCTCTCCCGCCTCTTCCTTGTTGCTCCATTTCCATGGTGATAAATAAGGCTTCTTTCTCCAATCATACACATTGCGTGTTGTCAGGCAACTGATACCCCCTGCGCTACCTTCTGGTTTCTCTAGCACTTACTTGCATCTTCTGGACTTCAACCATTCTTCGGGGTCTTCTTCTGGTTCATGTTCTCCATCACGCCATAAGCATTCAGGTCCATAAGGTCTTCTTAGTCGACGAGTAACGAGTACTGCACCTCCTTCCTCATCTCCTTCTTCTTCCCAGTCTTCTTCATCGACTTCTTCTGCAACTGGGAATAGATCCTCGTCTACACGATAGAGATCCTCTCCTGCCACCTTCACCAAGTTCATCCTGGCTTTCTTGCTTGAATCTTCTGATGGCCTCAGTTTCTTCATAGGACTTTCTTCTTCAAGCAACTCAACCGCTTCCCTTGGTCTCGAAGGCGCCGATGGTGATCTCAATGAAGGTGCTATAGGAGTATTGGGGTTGGGTTGTCCTGCTGGCAATGATGTAAATGGAAACGCCTTCACCTTTTCAAGCACCTTCTTTTCAAGTGTCTGGTGTTCATGAACAGGCATTGAATGAAGTTTTTGTAGTTTGGCAAATATTTGGACCAATCTTGATCTGTTCTTCTGATGCCTTTGCTTCGCACTACCTGCACACCATCTGTCAAGACATAGGTATCTTGTCTGTCAACTTTTCCAAAGAACAAGCATAGACGCCATCGAGCTTCTCCTTTGTTCAGACTTCTGACGCAACCATGAACAGGTTCACCATACTCAGCTCAAAGTCCTTTGTAACTCCTTCCATAGACGAGCTCATGTGCAGTGGCACGTTTGACTGGCTGAAATCTATTCAGCGCCCAACTGGCATGTCTTGCTGCCCAAGTCCAAAGTGCGTGATCTGGTCCTATCTTGATGCCAAGCCTTGACTGCAAGCCTTCAATGAAACTTCCTGCAAGCTTCCTCACCCTGTCAACCGTGTTCTCTGACAGAAGTGATGATCTCCCAACTTCGAAGTGTTCAATCTTGTTGTAAGTTCTAGGCTGTGTCGAGCATTGATCAGCATCTTTAGGATCTGTCTAGTTGTGGGTTCATTTAGGCGATTTGACTGAAAACCATCAACTCATGCACACTGAGATGAAATTGGCCCTTGCTTCCTAATGGCTGTCAACTTCAACTAGCCAACATACTAGCGTAGCAAAAAGTCAAAGCTCACTTCAGGGATACTTTCTCTCTTTACTCCATCTGTTCTCTCACGGCGATCTGGGCGCGCTCTGTGCTCAACGCACTCCATACACCAATTGGCAAATGGTAGATGCGTCAATACGTGCCTTGCCTGAGTGGCTTCATCTGGCATCTTTGCCACACAATGTCCTAACACTTCTCTTGTCTCTTGAGCTTTTGCTTCACTCGCCAAGCTTTTGGCGTTCGCGATTGATGATCTTTGTGTAGACCTTTAGCTTAGAGCGGCTACCTGAGATGCCGAGAAATGAACACGCTGTCCTCAAAGTTGCTAAAGTAGAATCTTTAGCCAACTCTACTCCGTTCACCAAATCTTTCAAGGTCTTCTTCTTTCTTACCCTCTTCTTTCTTATCTTCTACCTCCTTCTCCCGTGGAGTAGGGGGTATAATATCCTTGATTGTCTTCTCCACCTCCTTCTTTCTCTCATCTCTGTTCTCAAGCTTCTTGTATCCTGGCGCAAAGAACCCCATATTTTCTGGTGGTGCTGGCTCATAGCTGAAGATTGCGATTGAAGGAATCATCATCAAAGAATTGCTCATCAAGCTCCTTCTTCTTCATCATGCTCTCACAATATTCAGGCATAAGCCATCGACCTCCTCTTTTCACTATAGTGGTTCTCATCAGCTCTGGTGAATCTGCCACTTCTGGGATGAATGTGGGATCAACAAATCTTGAAGTCAATAGGCTTCCAACTAGCAAGCCATGCTCATTGAATCTCCAACCTGATTCCTTTTCAATGACTCTAATGCGGCCTCGAGCTGTCATATGTGTAGCTTGGTCTTTAACTCTCCTTCCCCGTAATCTGCCATACTCAAAGGGAACAATGCTACATCAGCTCCACTGTCAATAGCGATGGCCACATCCTCATTCTCTTCTCCAAGTCTTCTAACCTTGGACTCCTCATTCTCAATTTCCATGGAGTTTTCCTCCATGGGGTTTCGTCTATCTTGACATGGCTCATCATCATCATCTCCAATGTAGAAGTGAATCGCTCGAACTCCATGATCTTCTCTTTCTCCCAAGTCAAAGGTGATTGGCTCCCGATTTTCAATTCTTCTGGCCACTGGTTTGGTCTCTGCTGAGCTGCTGCGCTGGCTAAGGCTTGTTGTTGGCCAACTGTATGATTAGTCACTGGCGCTCACCCTGAAGATGAATGGGCTGGGTCACCTGCAACCTGTCGAATGTTGTTTCCACGAGTGTAACACCTTTCCTTTCTGTTCTTCATTGCCATTCTTGCCTGCGCCTTTGGCATCCTTACCTTTACCCTTCTGATAGTCGTTCTTGCCCTTCTTGCCTTTTCCCTTGGCATCTTGAACTCGATCAATGTCCATGGGCATGCGCCCTTGATGGTCTGTACTGCTACTTGCCACCGTTGAAGTAGCCTGCTGAGAACGATCCCATTGCAACACTTGTTCCCTCAAAGTTGAGTATTGAACGTTGTCGCCAACTGTCAAGTTGAAGTATGATTTGAGCTGTCCACCAAAGAATAGCAGATTTCAACTCTTCTTGGCTTGTTGTTCCTGCCCTGACCGTCTCATCAAATACTTCAAGCTTCAGAAGTTGAGGTTGTAGCGCACTGTTCATTGCAAACGCTGGCCATGTAGTGGCTGCCCCCAAAAGCACTAGTCCTCTGGCCTTTGAAGTTGGTTTCAAAGCTTTGCTCAAACTCCCCCAGGCATCAAACCCATTGGAGTCCTCCACAGCTTTAACCAATTGTAGGGCTCTGCCCCTCATCAATGAAGCTAACAATCCATAGAGCTTGATGCACCTGGCCTTCTCTGTTGTAGTTGCCAAGTCCATACCAAAGCTCTCATTTGGCTTGTCATGAATCTCCTTGATTCAAACCCTTCATTGGCCAATCAGTCGTTGTTGACTTCTTGTCTTCAACTGCTTTCTTCACTGCCTCAGCTGCTGATGCTGTTGCTTGCGTACTCTTCGCTATAACTTGGAGGATTTCTCTGATCTCATCCATCTTTACTGCACAATAATGTCCTTCTGACACAATGTAAGGGGTACTGAGTGCCCCTCTGTAACCAGTTCAGCTATTTGGGTTCCTGACTCCAGATCTATGGATCGAAATCGCCCCTCCCAGGGACCTAGGGGCTTTTCTTTGGAGCGGAAAGGGGGTTTACCGTTTACCCTTCTCCTTGCTCCGCTACCATTGCTCCGCTATCATGCGAACTTTATCCTGGATCCAAAATTAGGGTCTGCGCAATGGTGAAATGTCAGACAAGCTGAACAATAGTACTAACCTATGGTCTACCTTGAAAGTTCTTCACACACACAGTTATATTTATATATATATATATTATATGCACCTGCAACATCACAGGCGATGCCAACGCAACAAGGTCAAAACAAAACTGCAGTACACCAGCAACGACCCCAAACAGCAGCGTCAGTTTGATGTTTCTCTTGCCGGCGAGTCCTAGAAGTTTTCGCCGCCTGCTTTGAGCCATGGGAAACCAAGCAGCCAACGGAAGACAAAGCAGAATCACATCACCTCAGCGAGCCACGGGAGAAAAGCAGAAACAAACGGAGAAGAACCATGAGGCAAAGGGAGACAAAGTAGAATCATCGCAGCAAAAGGGAGACAAGAGAGGGCAACGCAGAAGCATTTTGGCCCAGCATCCAGAAGAGCCACGGGAGACAAAGGGAGAGAATCAGAATCATTTCAGTCCAGCATCCAGGAGAGCCATGGGAGACAAAGGGAGGCGAAGCACAAAGCGGAATCATCTTGGCCCAAGATCGTTTCTATGCGCGAATACAGAGCCCCTCGCAGCAAAGCTGCTTGGGGAAATAAACGCAAAACGCTGCAAAACGCACAAGTCTCAGACGACATCAAAACGATAGATATATATAGAATCCAACGCCTTGTCCTCTCCTGTCAACTCCAAAAACCATTCCTATTTTTGAGGTTGTTGCCAATCATATTTACTACAAGAATGCTAGGTTGTCGCAACTAGAAAAGTCGAACTGAGCACCTGCTTGCCAGGAAAGTCGAAAGCATTACAGAAATTGCAGTACCCAAGCATACAAACAAAAGTGAATCTGAGTGACTCAGCTGCAGCTTTTGCAACAATCTTTTCACTCACGTCGCCTCAGAAGACAAACAACACTATGCACTCAACTCTATTGTTATCTCATTATGGCCTGATTTCAAGGTGTCCGTGTATTTCTGGCACATGTTCTGCACATTCGGCCCGTCGACTGTTCCAAGCACCTCAGAAGCAAATCAAATTCGTTCCAAACGATGCACGGAATGCATCCTTGGCAAATGTCCTGATTTGGTTTCACCTCAGTTCACTGCTTCAATCAGGCATTTTTCTTCGTACAATGCATCATTGCAGCGCTGGGCCACATTTCCTCAGAGTCTGCGTGACGATAGCTTGTGAAAAATGAAAACTAGGTCCACAAAAATCAGAAAATGGTTGCAACAGCTCAATGTAAATCTACTTCAAGTGGAGTGGGCCAGTTCTACTTTGATCTACGTTGTACTTTTTCTCCTGCCCTTTGAGAATCGGTTCGCTGTCCATCTCCTTTTCCAGCGCCACCCGCCAAGCATGGCATCTTGTCCCTAAATCAGCTGTCGAGAGTGGAAACCTTTGGATATTATGGGTCACCAGGAACATGTGAAACGATGGAAAATGCTTGGAATCTGCCCAGGCTCCAAGGACCTCCGCATGATTGAGTTCCTCTTCGGACATGCCCCCACCATCAGCCCACGATGCAAAAGCCGGAAAAGGGATGCTTCCTGTGTGAGCCTCGGCGGTAACAGCCTAGCCTTAAAAATATGCACTGGGCCATGAAACACAAAGTCAACGACGTCAACGGCATGAGGCCCAGCAGCTGGATCAGCCTTGACCATGATTTCATCAACTTCTTCTTTGGTGGGAACCTCTCCACGAACAAGCGTGAGCATCATGTCCATTTCGCTCTTGCTGATCGATCCATTTCCGTCCAAGTCGAAAGCTTGGAATTGGAATCTGCGGGCAACTTCCGTCGTCGAGGAATCCAACACAGCTTTCTTCACAACCGTGAGCGTCTGCGGCTCCCTTCGCTGCCACCTCTTCGCGTACAAGTTGCTGTCTTCGAAATACCTGCTAAGCTTCAGAACTATTGAGACACCAATGAAAGGGATTGAAACACACCAACTCAGTGCCCTTCAACAGCCGCTTCCCAAAGTCTACGGCGTTGCTATTCATTCATGTCTGGCCTGGCTCTCCTCTCTTTCTCCAATCCCACTCCTCTCCCTCTCTCCCTCTCTCCCTCTCTCCCTCTCTCCCTCTCTCCC